TTTGGCTTCAACAAACAGGTACTTGTGCAGACAAAAAAGGAAATTCATGCAGTTGTGAATTGTCATATGTCAGCTCTGCATGCACTTGTCGATTTCAAACAATTTTGTACGTTATATTTTGTCTTCCTGGTGTTTAATATAAACGATGATAACCTTTTAAAAAAAATCTAGAGCAATATGTCTATAAACAGTTTTAGAATCAATAGAACGGACATTCAATGTGTATTTGGCTTGTGTCCAAATGTGTCACGTTTAAGACCGGCAAGGCGCTAATCCTACGACCTATAAACAGTCGATTTTGAGACATCTGTTTTACAAAATTTATTCCATGTCCATATCAGAACAATTCATTGGCATATTATAAGCATATTATAAATATCAGAGCCAGAACAGAAACGTACGCGTGAAATTTAACTACGCCCGAACCGGCGAACCCCGAGAAAATAAAAATATTTCAAAGCGTACAGTCATGCATACGTTCTCGTTGCTTGATTTCCTGAATTTTCTGTTGCTATAAGAATCTGCATTTTAGCATGTTTGTATAATTTAAAAGCAAACAGAAACCAATTTAGCAAGTAGTTTGAGGTATATATGATTCTCGAAGATGAATTAGATGATTGTACAGAACGGCCACTCCTTGCAATCGAACTGCGAACTGCAGAAGTGGAAACATGTAATATGAGACTTTTCCATCCCCCTCTTGGGCTATCAATTTTCTATGGGTCACGTGACCAGCTCCGACCAGGGTCTTTGCTTCCCAAGAGCAAAGAGCCTGGGAACGGGGTTGGAGCAGAGAGGGTCTGGAGCTCGTAGGCATTTCAAAATTTCCCCTTTGGCTTTGTTCTCAAAAAAATCTCACAATGTTCCCTCGTACCCAGTGGCTCTGGGTATGAGATTGGTGTTCCCACAAAATATGCCTTATAAATTGGATGGGAAATAGCAAAATTTTACTGAATGCGTATCATACATAAATTATACAGTGCATAAATCATAAGTTGTGTATCATGCATAAATTATACAGTGGGCTAATATGTATAATGCCTATATATTAGCCCACTGTATAATTTATGCATGATACACAACTTAATTCACCGACACCAAAGCCACAAAACAGAATACCTTTGCTTATTTGATGTTGAACTGTACGGTTGTACCTTATCGTGCACATATTCTTTGTTTCAACTTGATATCTCTAACCGTTAATAATTCATCATGAGTAACCAACCATGTTGCTTTATTTTGCTCACATGATAAAACTGGACACCTGATGAAGTATATTGATGCATTCCTAGCCTCCTAGGAATGGATCAAAATTAATTCAGTCCTTGGATTTCAAATCCTCCAATTCAGACCGGACCAGACTTCAAGTCCTCACATTTAGATCCAGTCCTCGGCCTCGGCTTCGCCTCGGACTTGATCAAATTGCGCGAATTTGAAATCTGGTCCAGTCCTCAAAGTCGTATTTGAAATATTACTTCAAACATTATGATCGTTGTTGCACGTTTTACATCGGCCATCCTTATTGGACGATTACGTCATTATAGGAAATTCGAAAATACAATGAGCTCAATCACCGTGACCGTGCACAAATTAACATAAACTCCGGCAAAAACATAAAGCAATGACTTCTGTTTCCAGACCATCATATCTTGAGAGACTATGTTTCTTGCGTAGCTTGCACTGTGATCGAGTTCAACAGCTGCATTTCTAGTGAGAACCAAGATTTTACGGTAAACTGCTCATAAAAACAAAAGCATACGAAGGAATGTTAAAATTCCGGCTGCACCAATCAGCGCACAAGAAACATCACACGTGATCCTGTATCTCCCACGCACGTAAAACACGCAAGTTGTTATAGATCTGCGAGCAAAGTTGTAACAAGGTTGTTTTCAAGCATGTGTTCGCGCTGCTTGTCTGGAACAAGTTGTTATCTCCTTGTCACAAGGTTGATGAGGGCATGAACACTTAACAGACTTGCTACAAGTTGTCCCAACATACAGATTGTTCGTAACAAGTTGCTACGAGCTTGTTGTCATGAACTTGTTAACAACTTGTTACGTGCAGACGATATCAGACTTGTTGGAACATCTTGTTGCGAGTCTGTTGGCCTCATCAACCTTAGCTTGTTTGTAGATGATAACAACTTGTTCCAGACTTGTCAACAACTGGGAACACACCTTGTTGATAAACTGCAGTGAGGTTTTTACGCTTGTACCAGTCTTGGATAATAATATGGCATGATTAATCCAAAACGAATACGGAAATGTCAGTCATAATGACTCATTATCATCATTAGGTTTAAGATTATAACCCATTTTTAAATATCTGTACTTAATTGTAATTATTATCCTGTATATGTAATTAATGTACAATTTGTAAGCTCGTAACTATACGAGTTATGCGTCTGTTTAACTGCTCTGCGGCACTGTATAGGACTGACTAGGGAAAGTCATGTTAGGTACACTATTGTACACCAAGGTACACTAAAGCGCGACTATCCAATGCTATCCCTGATTATCAACCAATATCAAATCACGACCTCTTTTAGCCTCATGTAACCCTCATGTATCATCTGTTTCCCTGTTAATGCCCATATTGTCCCCAGATATATCTGACGTTTTCTCAGTAGCGCCACAATCCACACAAAGTCTGAGTGGTAGCGGCGAGGAAGGATTGTTTATAGTTTGACTGGAGCAATTGTCACAAAATATCCGACCACATAGTCTGCAGTGATGCTGAAAATATATAAAAAAAAAACACACACATTGATTTATGAACTGCATCTCAGATTGCTGAGTTTCCCAGCCAGAATGTTTCCTAGCCGAGATCCGGCCTCTTTCTGTCAGAAACTTGCCAAGGCGAGTTACCTGGTTGTCGCGGTTGCATCTTCTAAACACTCACCTGGGAAAACTATACTAAGTTTCTATAATAGCCGGGATCTCGTTGTCAAAAGCCGTAAGGGCCTCATGACGCCGTAATAGATCTTACCGTTCATTCACTTTTCACCCAATGGCCTCATTTTCGTGTCAAATACTTACTCATGTTTTGTGCTAAGTAGGGTTGAAAATTACTTTAAATTTTAAGGGTCTTCAATATGGGACCCTTTTTAAGCCGAGAGCCCACTGTGAAGTGCCCCTGCCCCCCTCCCCCCTAGGCAGGCATGATCGCCCTTACTGAGTAACTCGCCGTCATATCAACGTGAGGCCTAGCCTGCGACCAGGCTCTCTTTGAACTCTCTTTGAAAGAGCCTGTTCGCAGGCTACGCGAGGCCTTAATCCTGTTATACAACCACGGAACACAAATACATAATTCTAGTCAAAATAATTTTCACCTTGTCTTGTGGAACATCGAGTGGTTTCTCACATTTCCTACATGATGAAACACCATCTTCATCCTCCCATTTGGTTTCTTTCTGAGATTCTTTCATCTCCTCTAATTTCATCTACATTAAAACAAAATAATCTTAGGCCATATGACTTTATTTGCACTTTTATGGTTAAAAAGGTTATGGGAAGTTTGAAAACATGAGCATTCGGTGAATAGCACTAACACCTGATATTTGAAATTTCAATTACCAACACTATCCAACACTTACCTGCAAACTCTGTGATAATTTAACAAAATCTCTTTGCACAGCTTCGCTGTTATTTAACTGCCCGTTCAAAGAATGTAGTTGGGCCCTTAACTGCTTGACTTGAGTCTCAAGGTCACCCTACAGTAGATAGACTCGATTTAGCTCCCTCCATTTTAATATGCCCCCAGTCCAGAACCACCACCGCAGGCAACTCGGTCACAGAATACAGAAGTGTAACTTCCATTACAAAACCGTAAGGCGCTTTTTTACCGAAATAGCTGGCGGCCATGCTCTTAGCAAGTGCCCTAAAGAGAGGCATTCACCCCCCTGAAATATTAAATTTTCAATATGTTTTCAGGGGGGTGACTGCCTCTCTTTAGGGCACTTGCTAAAAACATGGCGGACTGAAAAAATCCCTTTCGCGAAATTAACCTGAAGTGAGATCTCTGTATGTACTTCCTCTGTGACTCGGTGGACAAAGCCACAATTACGCAATACTGATAAGGAAATGATGGGGATAAACAGTGTTGTAGTTTGATTATTCAGAATCCATTCTCGTCCCTAGGCTACTAGTTTTGGTTTGCTTGGCAGCCATTACAGTAGATCCCCATGGCTACCTTCACAAAAAGAAAATCTATAGGCATGATACCTTGTCTTTAGTGGACTGTTGCAGTTGCTTCTCTAGGATTCCAATCACTTGTTTTGATTCCGTAGCTTGTGGAGGATTTTCTAACTGCTAGAAATATTTGAAACAAAATAAAACGATTTAAGTAAGATATACAGTACATGACATCATGTGTCACTCCAACATGCATGCATTAAAGATTTCAAGTATGCTAGCAATACTAGATTCCTCTTATTACGTTTTCGTAGCGCTTTGCATTGTGGTTATAGTGGTATCACTGATATTCAAGATGGCTTATTTTTTGTCCTGACATTCAATATTTTCATTCGAGGCCGCAATCTTTATCAGTGATACCACTATAACCACAATGCAAAGCGCTACGAAAACGTAATAAGGGGAATCATCAATTCTTCAGTGAAAAGAAAATTTTATAACGTCATCGGGTACCACTGGGAAAGTTTTGCCCCTGGTCACACGGAACCTTTCGGCGACCCTGGTTAGTAATATGCTCTTTTCCTCGAAAGCATCACCGACGTAGTGGCACTTACCCGTTGTTGTCCTAGTTGGCTTTTCAGATTTCCTGGAAAACAAAGGTAAAGTATAGCTTTATGATTACAGGAATCCTGGCTCATTTATACGTACAGTGTGATATGTCTATAACCCATTTAGTTGCGTCCAAATGCGACCTACTTTATTAACGCCAGACGATTTTACTCACGTTACTACTTCATGTAACGAACACGTAATAGTTTGAGGTAATTAAAGGCAGGTTAAAATAATCAGATGGTGTTAATTAAAACTAGGGTTAGTGTTAGGGGTATTATCACTAACTTTCATGATCACACATACCTTATAATTTGCTCAAACTGTTTTGTGGGTCTTAAGAGCGCTAGCGTTCAATGGATTAAGCTATTTTTTCTAGAAGCAATTTTTTTTATGCATCACTTTTGAGCCGAAAGTGGTGCATTTTCCCGCGCGTAATACTAAAAACCTCATGAAAATTTGCTAATTTTACATGGCTATACAAAATATTTTCGTATTTTACAACATTTGGCAACTAAACGTTGCAATTTTACTAATTTAAGGATGTTCTTTTGAGCTATAATGATACATTTCGTCTTTCTTATCTTGATAAAAAATTAGTCGATAGCTGGCAAACTTACTAATTTCTAGTCCTAAGGTTTCTATTTCAGCTTGATACAGTTCTTCCATACTCTCCTTGCCAATCTGTTCCGCAACAACGCGATCTTTCATGAAGTTGATCTGGGAATGAAATTTAGGTATAAATAACTTCTACTTAAGGAGGCTCCCTGTAGTTTCCCTGAGGCTCATTCAGCCGAATTATTCACACGTCATTCTCGCGCACCCGCGTGGAATATTCGTGGATTTGTTTTACACAAGCCGTGAAAGTATTTGTAGTCAATTTTATAGTGTTTATCTTGCAAAGAAAGATGCCAGTTATTCTTAAAATCTTCACTTTTTAAAAATAATACTATAGTAGAATAAAATTCAGTTTTTAAGCTGTTTACTGTGGCATAAACAACACTTGTTTTTATAGCGAAACTTTTCTAGGTTTTAAATTAATTTTAACAACAAACACAACTTTAATAAAGGTCAATTAATATTATTGGTATTTGCATCCTTGTCACGCTAGACGCACAGAGCATTCCAGATGCAAAACAAACCTCGCTTTGCAGGGCAACTAATTCTTTTGTTTTCACGTCAGTTTGATCTTCAGCGCGTTCCGCCTGTTTCTAAACATATGAAAAGCATTTACTTTAGACATAAAAGGATAAGTTGTCAGGGGAGCAAAATTTGCAAATCTGAGTGACATTTTACCTGTTCCGTGTGTTGGACGTTGAGTTTTTGCAAGGCTCGGCTGTTTTCTGATAACTGTTCGTACTAAAATAAAAACATAGATGTATTGTATTCTTTGGAGAGCTCTAGATTTGCAGTATCCCGATATTACTAGCACACCTGGGGCAGTGTGCACCATATATATCTGGAACGAGAACTGGAGTGACGAAAATCGAAGAGCTAGTGGAGGTCAGTTCCAGTCCCTTTCTATTGTTTTTGACTGCGCGGTTAAAAGGAAGCTGGCAATGAGTGTGCCAAAATTTCGTATTTTGACTTCGATTTAAAGAATAACACTGTGGTTTAATGAATTGGTAACTTTAAAGTTTGTTCGTTCACTGCACTCTGGTTTAAATAAATGATTACAAAGCCCAGTCGAATTGTCAAGACCCAACAACCCAAGACCAACTAAGACCCAACGTTTCGAAAACCAAGACCCAACGTTTCGACACTCCAGTCTAGTGTCTTCATTGGCAGGTGACATCATCCCTTGGGTATTTAAGAAGCCACAATTGCAATTTTAGAATAAATATGAGTAATCATGCTTTGAATAGGGATAACGGTGCCTATTTGCCAGAGGAATTTATGCATCTCATTGGCAGGTGACTCATCCTTGGGTATTTAAGAAGCCACGATTGCAATTTTAGATCGCCCCTGATGAAGACACTAGACTGGAGTGTCGAAACGTTGGGTCTTGATTACAATTCGACTGGGCTTTGTAATAATTTATTTAAACCAGAGTAGCGAGCGAAACATGAATTGGTAACTTGTTTAGCGATACGGTAAAAATGGTATTAAAAAAGTCTACGACCTTCATAGCTATTGGATGTCAATGGCCGCCATCTTGGCTTCGCTTTTCCCATAGGCCGAATGACTCAAGTTCTCGCTCCAGATATATAGAGATCTCAGTGGTTTGACTAAGGCTTAATTGCGCATACCTGTGCGAAATAACTGTCTCGAGACACCATAAGTTCGCTCTGGGAAAGCAAAAACACAATTAGGGACTTATATGAGACGAGGTAACTGGGAAACTCGCCTAGGTGTGAGAATCACATGTCATCGTTGACGCGGATAAAAGTCATACGTGGTCATATGACAGACGAGCCAGCCTGACTAGGTGGGCATCGCAAGTTTGCATTCCTATAAGCTGGATTTCACACTTACAGAGTGGAAATCCAGCTTTACTGTAGCTTGCGTTCAATTCTAACGTCCATGCTTGCCTGTCAGTGTCAGTAGAGACCTTACGATTTAGGACGGCCACGCGACGGCAACGACTACCAATACAATAAATCATTGAAAAAGAATTGAATAATTACAATATATGAATAATTTAGACATTGTCCTCGCTCTGTTTACAACGCCAAATCACAGATTTTCACGTCTTGATACAACGGCTGCATTTCAAGCCGCAACAAGTGCAACTTCAAACTGGGTTCAGCAGAACTCTTCCCAAACATAAAATCCATGTCTTCAACTTCTAAGACTGTATTAATTAAATTCATACGATTGATAATATACGACGAATTATCTTTACTACCATTTATTTGAAGGAATTTGTTCTGGCCGTCGTCGTCGCCGTCCTAAAATCGTAAGGTTTCTAATGCTCATACACCCCCCGGCCCTCCAACACACACATCAACCTCGTTCCCAGGTTCCCTCCTACAATCCTCAGTCAAGTGGGATAAAAGTTTCCAAAATAAACGTACCACTTGTTTGCTCGTTTCTTTCTTGGTTTTATCAATGTCTGCCGTGATCTCTTCTAATAAACTTTCGAAACTTCTTTGGGTGTCCATTGCTACTTTAATCTGCGAAAGAACAAATATATTCATTGCAGTAAAATAAACAAATTACAAAGCTATTATGCCGGGGTAATGGAGGCCACAGATTCGCAATAAGTTCAGTTCCAGCAAGTCTAATAGACAGATTTAGAAAAGACGACGCGACCTCAAAGACGACGTGAAAATGGCGTCAAAGTGGCGTAGCACATCCATATATGGACAGAACACGCCATTTTCACGTCGTCTTTGAGGTCGCGTCGTCTTTTCTAAATCTGTCTATTATCGCGTCTGCACGTAACAAGTTGTTAACAAGCTGATCGCAACAAGCTCGTAAGCAACCTATTACAAGTTATAACAAGTTGTTATCACAACAACTGGGAACAAGCAGTGCGAACACAACAACCTAAATTGTTACAACGCGTTGTTACGTGTGCTTTAGGGGCGACTTTGAAATTCCAGAAGTTTCCAGGACTAATAAAAAGCCATGGTTTTCCAGGATTTCTAAGAGTCGTACGAACCCTGTGCAAGGCAATCGTAAGTAACGCGGAAGAGGATCAAGCCCTTACCTGTGCTTGAGCGTCCTCGCTGGCGACTTTCACACTTTGTTCCAATCGATCACACGATCTTTTTACAACGGTAACAGTTTCCTGTCAAATGAAAATCCAAAACATGCTCTTCGTTAGGTTTAATAAATGTATGAAATTTACATTCAGAATGCCCACAAAACCGTTCAATAAATATGTCATCACCCGTTCCTCTTTCAACCTCGTCGATAATGCGGAGGTTTCTTCAGACAAAGCTTCGTTTCTCTGTTGCAGTTTCTGCAGTTGTTTTTCGTAGTTACTACACATTGCGCACGCGCGATCCACGTCATCTGAAAATGAAGATTTCGCCTATAAAGAGAATAATTCGATGTAGCTAATAAGGCCAAAAAAAATATGGGTTTCCGGTTTCCCGACCCTCCCTATAAAACTACCTATAGCTTTTGGGCGCCAAAATCCCGACCCGAAACTTTTTTATTGGATCATGCTTGTGTTTCCACTTAGAGGAAAACTTTTGTGGAAAATGGAAATTTGAGGCAATATTAGGGAAATTTATCTTTGGATGTGGAAGCACTGACTAAACAAAAGGGCGTCCGGTTGTTAGGAAATTAAAGAAAAGTTTAAAAAAAAAGTGAAAACCGACCTACCCTATCTAAGTTTTTACAAGAAGGCCTAAGCTAATTTAGCAAGGGTTGGTTCATAACGTTTAACATTATCTATAAAATCTTGTTACAGATTTTTCATTTTAAACTTAACTCTTGATATATTTTGACTGAAAGCTTTGAGCTGTCTGCCATCTTGGATTAATTCTTAAGTCTTATTAACTATGGGTTTGATGACGTCAGGCGTGGGGTTTATAGCCTTATAGAAATATTTCTACGTTACTGAGTAACAATCAAGAGTTGTTTGGAATGCAAGGGCTTCCAGATCATGTTTGTACAGTAGCAAGAATCGCCAGCAGGGCCCAGAATCTTACTGATACGTTACATACCGCTTCTTCGAAGCTTTTCCAATCAATGTTTTCGTTTCCACGTTTCACCACACCAGACTCTAGTTTGTTCGCGAAGTTTAGTTCTTGTGATCGAGTGTGTAAACTGCGCTTTGCAGCTGAAACGAAATTTCATAAAACGATTTATTGCGCAGCTGTGCGGCCTATAAACCATCTCGGGAAACTATATTCACTGCGAGATTTCTGATGATGTATCTTATAAGATGATAAGATATTTGAACTAGACCTCGAAAATTCCCCTATTATTTATAGCAAAATAATTCTAGTTTGATAAGGACACACCCCTACCCTGGGTGCCAGAGCCTCTTGTGATAGAAGTGAGGACACGACGAGGGGGCTCTGATCACACGAGCATCCAGCCTCACTTTGGTGAGTTCAATATTTGAACTCTGTTTATGATTGGTCTAAATTTATTTGAGTCTTTTCATTGGTTAATCTATGAGCGTCGGTTAACCAATGAAAAGACTCACTTAAATTTAGACCAATCACAAACAGAGTTCAAATATTGAACTCACCAAAGTGAGGCTGGTTGCTCGTGTTGACCAGAGCCTCCTCATCGTGTCCTCACTTCTATCACAGGAGGCTCTGGCACCCAGGGTAACCCACCCCCAGCATTTATTCTCAAACTGCTCTAACAACAACACAATTCAAATTGATTAGTACAGTAGTGTATGCAGTTTAATCGAATCCAATCAATGGGTTCTAATTCTAGGTTCCACTGTGTGAGCATGCTTATATATACATACCAATGTTCATGAGCATTGATTGATTGAATTGATTGATTGATTGATTGATTGATTGATTGATTGATTGATTGATTGATTGATGCTCATATACATACCAAAAGCAGGTATGCTCATGAGGACGCTCATGTACATACCAAAACCCAGGGTTGTATTACTATACAACGTCGCTTTATGCAGCTGTCTGCTATTGATTCAATTAATCTTTGACTTAACCAACCTGGCGCAAGTCCAGCTTCCAAGTCATCGGCAGACTTGTATTTTTTCATCGTACCACCATTAACAACTGTCGTGGCCTCTCCGTCAGAGAATGCATTCAGGCTCTTACTGTCCGAGTCCATACTGTCGCTAGATACAGTCACTGCAGGCTGCAGACTGTTGGGTAGCAATGGAGTTATTTTAGAATCGAACTGTGGGACATCACTCTGTTAAAATATGAGAAACAATGTAAGGTACACAGTCCACACTGTTGCTAGATCACTGCAGGCTGCAGACTGTTGGGTAGCAATGGAGTTATTTTAGAATCGAACTGCGGAACATCACTCTGTTAAAATATGAGAAACAATGTAAGGTACACAGTCCACACTGCGCCTAGATGCAATTAAATTCCGGCATTCCAGTATATACCGTAAACCTCCAACTATAAGCCCCCCCCCCCGAATATAAGCCCACCACATATACTAACGCTCACCTCATTC